CGGCAAGGAAGTCGTTCCAGTGTGAGCTTTTCTGTCTGCGGATAGCATCGTGGTACTCCTTGGCTGCCGTCCTGGCTCGTTGTTCAAGCTCCAACGATGTTTGCCCCATCCTGCGTCGTGATCTCGCTTGGTTTCTCCAGAAAGTGTAGGTCCGGCGGAGCCGAGTTAGGTCTGTTGTCCACCACCGCTTGGCGTATGGTGACGGTTTGGCTTTGGGTGTCAGGCTGTAGACCGCCTCGGTTACCGCTGCCATGAGCCTGTCTGTCTGCTGCTGGACGCTGCCACCCCAGGGGATGTTCCTTAGGTTCGCCGCCACCCTGGTCCTAATCTCTGTCCACGGCGCATTCTTGAAGAGAAGTCTCGTCTCCGTTGGGCGGTCTTCTATTGCGATGTCGAATATCGTCTCGATCGCTCTGTGATCAGATCCGTGGTCACAGGGATGAATCCTGCACCTAAGTAGCTGGTCTGCGAGTTCTGAAGAAGCTAGTACCAGGTCGATCGTGCTTTCTGCATCCCCTGACTGCCATGTCTTCGTGCCTCTTGGGAGAAGGCTGCAGATCGCCCGGCCCCCCACGACTACCGTGTGAGCCTCGTGCGGGTGCCTGCAGCTTCCTTGAGGGAATGATTGGTTCTGGTGTTCTGTCTTGTGCCCCACCGGGTCTGTAACACAGTACATATGGTTGGTTCGTGACATTTGGTCCCTGCCAGGCCTTTTCGATAGGCGCGAAGTTGGGACTCAATGGGCCGTTACTTTGCGTAGACGACAGTTATAATTCGGAAATCACGTTCTGACTCTATGTTTCGCGTAAGACTTGAAAAACGAACGCTCTAAGAGGCCTCTGCTGCTAGGCCTCTTCTTCTAGTAGGGAGCTTCGTGCTAGCTATCGTGCTAGCTCTCGTACTTCCATTTATATATATCCTTATCCTATCTGTGAGAGACTAGTGGCATCAGGGCGATGCACTGGGCACTGCGAATGCCGACTCAATTTTGCTAATCGAAAGCTAAGGAAAGGAAGAGTGAGAGTATACAGGATGCGCGTCTGCGTCGCGTGAAGGATAAGTGGCCGCACAGGCCACCCACCGAAGAGAGCATGAGTCCAGGGTGTGCTCTCCGTCACAATCCGTACATATGCCCGCATACGTTGGATGGTTAAGGTCCGTGCGGCGCCAGCCAGCGGTCAGCGCGCGGTCAGGCGTACCGTCAATACCATTATCTCATCGGTACAGCTGCATTCTGCATTACCAGTCCCTACTACCTTGGCGTCGCAACAGAAGCATTCATTGTCAGATGCGACCCCGGTTAGAGACGGCACTAATATTTCTCACGGCCGTGCTCTTCCCGTCTCAGCTTGTCTGACACGCTGCGGCTTGCACTGACCAAGACGGCCCCCATCGCCCGGAACAACCAGACCCCGGGCAATTTCATAGATCCCGAACTCGGCGAAGGGCGATGTCTCACCGGGACACAGCGGCTTTGACGACGCCGAACGACCGAAGGAATCGGCCCCGAGAGGGGTTCGAGGCCCCACTGTCGTTGCGAAGGGGCGCTGCTTGTGATTGCTGGAGAAAACATTTCCCACGTGTGGACAGGCTGCAGGCTAAGAAAGGAGGGAGAGTCATGTACAGATACGGATAAGCAAACGGGGAAGGACAATACCGTCGCCGAGGTCACCAATGTGACCATGTAGGTCCGGGAGACACCCTGAGGCTTAAAGCGTTGGGGGTTCGACAGGCATGCGACCGGCTGGATACCAATTTCAGAAACTTGCCCATTTAGTAGTGCTTCATCTCAAGGTCATTCTGTGGAGCTCCATATACGCGTTACTCTTAGAAGTAAGGCAACCAACAACATGGGCAGCGACCTCACCTTCACCAACCCCGTCATCCGCGGCTTCAACCCGGACCCGACCGTCTGCGTCGTGCCGGCGACGTCGACGACGCCGGCGCAGTACTTCCTCTCAACGTCGACGTTCGAGTTCTTCCCCGGCGCAGCCATCTACCACTCGACCGACCTGCTCAATTGGACGCTCATCGGCCACGCCCTCAACCGGCGCAGCCAGCTGGACATGCGCACGGTCGAGCCCGGCGCTGGCTCGTGGGCGAGCACGCTGCGCTACCGCCCCCGCGAGAAGCGCTGGTACCTTACCAACGGCGTGTTCCAACGGTACCGGCCGAGCGCCGACGAGCGCATCTTCCCTCGCGGCTTCTACGTCTGGACCGACGACATCTTTGACGAGGCCGCCTGGTCCGAGCCCGTGTATTTCGACAATCCGGGTTTTGACCAGGACCTGTTCTGGGACGACGACGGCTACGGCGACGGCAAGGTGTACCTAAGCACGACGGTGCGCATGGCCCGGCGTACGCCGGGGCTCGGGTTGAAAGACTTCGCCATCCACGTCTCCGAAATCGATCTGCCGACGGGCCGGACGCTGACGCCGCCCAAGGTGATCCGGTCCTCGCCGTTCGGTGTGGCCGAGGGCTCTCATATCATGCGCAAGGGCAGGTACTACTACCTGTTCACAGCCGAGGGCGGTACCGAGGCGGGCCACCAAGAGTGGGTGTTCCGGAGCACCGAGGGGCCGTATGGTCCGTGGGAGGGCCAGGGCAAGGCCCTGTGGTACAACGGCCCGGATGAGGAGGTCCAGCGCACGGGGCACTGTGATATCTTTGAAGATGGGCGGGGGCAATGGTGGGGTGTCCTGCTCGGGGTGCGGCCGGCAAAGAACCGCGAGGGCAAGTGGGCGGAGCCGCAGCTGGGCAGGGAGACGTTCCTGGTCACGGTGGACTGGGTGGACGACTGGCCTGTGTTTAACCGTGGCAAGAACGTTGCGTTGGAGACTGTCGGGCGCGAGCCTGTTGTGCAGGCGCGGACGGCGGGGCCAGACGGTGTTCGCTGGAGAGCTGATCTGTCTAGGCCTGACCTGGAATTGGGGTGGTATCATAAGAGTGAGTTGTCCCTTGACCCCAACAATGCTTGAGAATAAACTGTAGCTGACAGGGGAGCAGACACGCCAATCAAGAAGTGCTACTCCTTGACGGAGCGGCCCGGCTATCTCAGGCTGTATGGCAACTGCTACGAGCTCACGAGCCCCGAGTCGCCGGCGCTGCTGTTGTGGAAGCAGGCCGGATACAACGAGACGTTCCGGGCCAAGATGAACTTTAAGCCCAGCAGGCTCGGTTACGAGTCGGGCGTGACGCTGTGGTGGAACCAGTACTCGTTCGCGTCCATCGGCGTTGGCATCGTGGAGCCGTCGGAAGAGGCTGCAGCGGCACAGACAGTTATCGCGCGGCAGCCAACGGGAAAGAACGGCGAGCTGAAGGTCTCGTATCCGCTGCTCGACTGCGGGTTGATATTCGGCGCCGATGACGCTGTGCAGCTCACTATCGACACGACGCCGACCGACTACAAGCTGACGCTGTCGGTTGGCGAAATTGGCACCAGTGTGTCCTTTGACACCGAGACGCTAACCATCTACCCACCCGTGGGCGGTGCCTTCGCCGGCGCCATGTTCGGCATCTACGCATGTGGGAAGAGCGAACCAGTTTTAGACCCGGCAGACTTTTGGGACATTGAGATTGTCGAGCGGCCCTTTTGATCGAGTGCCGGCGTTCATATGGGGCAGCATAAGCTCGGTACCTAGTTCCATCTCACCTTTTACCTTATTTATGGAGAGCTTGCAGCGTTTGAACGGACCATGACTTGGAACCTTACCTTAGGTAGACTATGATTTAAGCGTTAGGCTAGACTGCTCTGGAAGTTTTCAAACCGTTGGCCCAAGCCGTTGCACGCTGCAGGAGCATGCGATGGCCGGCTCATAGAATAATTGGGCTGCCTCTCTCTGGCACCCTGGCATCACATTGATAAGGATAATCACATTAAGGGAGACGAGTTATCAGACGTCCCTAGGTCCCTACCGTATCCAGCTTCAAAACGTACCTGACTTTGCTGATCACCAACCTTTACATATACTTACGAGCTCAAGTTACCTGGTTGATTAATTTTTGAGTATATGTGCCGTAGATCATTCGAATCATCAGAAGAAAGCCAATTTCAAGTTGATGACCATGTTGTCCGTCATGTTAGGCAGAGCTAGAGCCTAGGCGGGATCTGGGAGACCATAAAAAATGGTAATAGAGCATGGCGCTAACCAGAGACACCTCCATCCCCCTCCCACACCAGACTCGTGTCATGACTTGTGCGATCCAAGGATGAGAGTAAGACAGTCAGTCATGCACTGCACCGTGACAGATCTAATGTAAACCCCCCAGCTTCACTCCTCCAGGCTCACCCTGGCGCCACCAATGTCACATCATCACATGCGCTCTGGGATAAGCCTCTAAACTCCGAGGCCCGGAAGATGGTAAGTGCATCACGCAAGACTTCAGGAAAAATAGAGAGTGCCAGTGCCCTGGATTCTGTTTTCGCCTCAGTCATGGGGGGCGCAGAGGTGTCCCTATAGGACTTTGATGGTTAGCTGCATCTGAGTATTTGGGGTTGCAGGAAAAGGATTCAGACCAGACACGAAGTGCCGCTGCTCTGCAGCTCTGGGGTTTGCAAGTATTTTGTTTTCCCCCCAATCGGCCCGGGGATTCGTCTTGAAGATCTGCCGAGCACCTCCCGATGGTTGGCTGCATCATGCGAAAGGAATACAAGCGTCCTTGGCGGCCGCTTGGGTAACACTTACACGCCGAACCCAGACGCCGGCTCGGCTCTCGGGGCAGTTCAAGGTTCCTAGAGGCTATGCGGTCTCTGAATTCGTCTTCTCTGCCGGCGGCACGCGCAGTCCATGGTCTGATCGCAGCCAGCTTCTTGGACCGTGGCCCGCTCTTCACCTCACGAGTCACAAGCTCGGGATCTTAGAGCCTTTGGTCCTGCCCCAGGTAATACAAGTACCTCCAGCTTGAAGTTCAAGACGATGCCGTCGCGGTATAGATAAGTGGATAGGTCCAGACGCCAGAGTTACTCTGCTCCCTTTTGACCACCTCATCTGGCCACTCCCAACTAATTTTAACTCCGTCCGGGCCTCGCATATTGCCTTGCCCTACCCAAGATGGGTCTCTCCAAGCAGGTTTGGTACAACTGGTTAGTCCCTGTCCTTCCTTACCAAGGCTCTTTTCTTTGAGAAACAATGGACCCGTCCTCACCAACCATCGTGGGCTCTTCACAGGTACGCCGGGCTCGTGGCGGCCGGGTGCATAATTCTCATGGGCTATGACTCGAGTGTCTTCAACTCGGTGCAGGCTTCCCAGAACTGGAAGTCAGCCATGGGCGATCCCGACCCTTACATGATTGGTCTCGTCAACACCGTCTACACGATTGGCGCAATCATCACAGGATGGTTCCTTAGCGGTCCTACAGTAAGGTTGCCGCTTACATATAGACCTACCTTGGGCAGTACTTACTCTGTGCGGGTATAGTCCGATTACCTTGGCCGTCGAATTGGCATGGGCATTGGCTGCATGATCACCGTCGTCGCCACAGTTTTACAGGCCTTCCCGCCGGCTAATGGAAGTCTGGCCTGTTTCATGGTCGGCCGTGTTCTCATCGGCGTTGGGACAGCTTTAGCTACTAGTAAGTTGGCCATTGAGACCACAGGGCAGCAAACTGTCAGCAAATTACAAGAGTGTGCTCCATGTCTGATGTCTGTTCCTCTGTCTTAGCTTCTGGCCCCATCTACATCGCGAGGTGACCGCGTCCAGAATCCGAGGAAAAGTCAAGTCCTTCTGGCAGATGTTCTTCTCAGTCGAATCTTTTCTCGCCTATTGGTTCAACTTCGCCTGTGCCAGGAACCGGGCGAGTCTTGGCCATTGGGACTGGAAGATGGTCGTCATCTTTCAGCTGATGATGCCACTGATCATTTGCGCCCAGCTCCCCTTCCTTCCCGAGTCCCCCCGCTGGCTGATCGCCAAGAAGAATGACTACAAAGGCGCAAAGGCTGCGCTGATGAGGGTGCGATCGACCGAGGAAGTCGACGCCGAGATTCTCAGCATCCGGAAGGCCATTGCCTACGAAAAGGAGGCGGCCCCCCGCAAGCACGAAGCCTACATGGCCCTCATCAAGGACAAGGCCATCCGCAAGCATGTTATTCTCGCCTTCATCATCAACGTTGGCCGGCAACTTACCGGCCAGGGCACCCTCAACTCGTACTCGTCACAAGCATCTACCAGAACGTGTTCAACAATGTCGATACCGTCAACTTGATCAACGCTCTCAACCGCATGCTTGGCATCCTATTCACCCTTAAGGCTACTTGGACTGTCGATCGGTAAATTACACTTGACCACAACTGGCTTCCGCAAGTCCGTGCGTGAGGACGAGCTGGGCTAATCTTCTTCGTGTCTTTGTAGATTCGGACGAAAGTGGCCCTTCATGGTTGGTGCCACTGGCATGGCTATCTGCACAATGTAAGCCAACAATCTTCTTTGTTTGTGGACATTGGATACCCCTTATGGCTGTCTCAGGAGCCTACTTGCTCGCAAGATTGCGCATTGCTCCCGAAACCCTTCCAGACAATTCCGGAATAGGGGAACTCTCAGCTGAGATTGTTGTAGGCTCATTGGTGTCGTCGGTTTGACGACCCTTGATATCAACGGCTCCAAGACCTACAGCGTCGGCGTTGGAATTGCCACGCTCGCTTTCGCCTTTGCCTTTTTCTTCAAGCCATCCTGGGGCGCTGTGGTCTGGATTCATACATTAGAGATCTTCCCAATGCATGTCCGCGCCAGGGTACCGGCATGTTGATCCAGATGCAAGACATGGCCAACACCATCTTCCAGCAGTTCTTTCCCATCTTTTTCAAGAACGAAGGCCTGTAAGTTGAACCCATTTTCTCTTATGTGCCACGTCATGTTTGATACGAACACGCTCACTCTAACCACGCCAATCCATTGAAAAAAAGCAGTAAAGTGCTCTTCTTCTTCATGACCACCAACGTCCTCCTGACCTTCTTCACCTACCTTTTCCTTCCCGAGACCAAGAACGTGACTCTGGAGCAAATGGACACATTGTTTGGCGGCGTTGACCATGTCGCAAAGGGCCCAGGCCTTGTCGAAGACATGGAGCACACCGCACCCATTACTCTCGGCAACGAAAACAAGCCTGAGTCTGTCGCTCTGGAGACGGTTACCAAAAAGCAGGAGTCCGTCTAAGACAGTGACCAGCCGGGGGAAAGATGGATTGGCCTGCTTCAGCCTTGAGTAAGGTAGAACTGTATTATAGCAAGACCCAGGGGTTTGCTCTATCGTTGTCTAAAGTACCTTAGTGCAGATTACATTATAGGAATAACTACCTTATGCGAGATCTCCAATTTGTGGTTGCCACTTCTTATTTGACACGAAATCTGAAGAGCACCCAGCACCGCTCATGCCGTCGATAGTCACTCCAGGAAATCACGGATCAGTCTCTGGGCATCAGAGGGTGAAATAGCCACTTGATTACACGCTGGCACACTATCTTACTGGCTCTATGTCGGGACAGAATGAAGACTTTAAATCACTGCAACTCCCTAACCAAACCGCCCATCAGCAAAAAAGGTCTCCCAGGCAAACTCCTCCCCAGAGAACCCTTCAAACCCGAACCCATCAATTTCGTCCATAATCCCACCCTCCCCGGAAGAAGACGAACCCCCCAACCCAGCCCGCATCTCATGGCCTACGAATCCCAATCCCTCCATCATCCTCGAGCTCAGCCAACGCTCCGACATCTCCAGACTATCCCGCGCCGCCCTCGCCACGGCGACCTCGACCGGCTTGTCCTCCTCGATGGCCTCCACATGGGCAAGCACCATGCTCAAGAACATGTGGCTCTTGACGTTGGTCTCGCCCTTGCGGATCCTCTCCTCCGAGAGCGCCGCCAGGTCGCGGACGACTTGCTTGAGGAAGTCGCGCCACTGGCTGGTGCGCTGGAGGGAGCCATCGCGACGTTGTGTTTCGACGTCTGTTCGAAGGAAAGATGAATGTGTTAGACTTTGTTCTTTATGCATCCATACCGATAGCTAACGAGGTGAACGCGCGGATACTAGGTAAAGGCTGGGGTAAATAATGTAAAGGCACAGGATGGTAGAGGCCAGAGAAGAAGAGGAGAGAAGGAGAGGGCAGAAGATAGAGGAGAGAAGAGGAGGAGAGAAGAGGAGGAGAGAAGAGGAGGAGAGAAGAGGAGGAGAGAAGAAGAGGAGAGAAGGAGAGGGCAGAAGAAAAAGGAGAGAAGAGGAGGAGAGAAGAGGAGGAGAGAAGAGGAGGAGAGAAGAGGAGGAGAGAAGAGGAGGAGAGAAGAGGAGGGGAGAAGAAGAGAAGAAAAGAAGGGGAGAGAAGAAAATGAGAGAAGAAGAAAGGGGATACTGAGAGTCTGGCCAACACTCACGAGCAAGCAACTCCAAGCTGATCGCCGCCGTGGCACTCCGGATCCCCTCCCGAAACAGCCCCCCGCTAATGGCCATCAGGCGGGCGAACATGCCGCCGTCATCCAGCCCGGGCGAGACCAGCGCCAGGGCGGCGTCGAGGCTGACCTTGACCGAGTAGTGAAACATTGGGTTCGTGCGAGCCTGATGGCTGTAGGGGAAGTGCAGGGGCACAATGAAGCGGCGGGCCAAGTAGTCGAGGAGGTTGCGGTGGAACGGGGTTGGGCCGTTGCTCTCGTTGCTGTTTGTGCGTGTGAAAAGGGTGGTGTAAGCCTGAAGGGCAGAGGTCAGCTCAGAGGTCAGGGTGAGGAACTGGTTGTATGAGCGGTTAGATTGAAGGTCGTTGAGGAGCTGGACGACGCGGAAGCGAGTGGAAAGCGAGTCGAGCATAGCGAGCTGCATCGACGTGGAGGTGAATCTGTCTCTGGGATGTGATCGGAGCACGGTAGTGGACTCCTCTATCTCATCATCGTTGATGTTGGACGGGTGTTCAGTGTTGAACTCGTCGAGTGAGATGCGTAGTGGCATCCATGCGTCTAGCGATGATTGAACAACCAGCTCCAGAATGGTCGCCCATAATCGCCGGCGGAGCTCGGCTTGTAGGACTGGCATGGCTGGCAGATGCTTGGGGTCGCGGTGCAGGCCGATCTGCATAGCTCCGTGGACAAGAGATCCCATCGAGACCCACACCGTATCCCCACCGATGGCAAAGAGTTGACGGGCCAGCATCGTTAAACAGTGGATTTGCAAGCCCGTGATGTCTAGGCGGTCTTTCTCTACCGGCCCGGAAATCCAAGTCTGAGCAGCGCATATCCATTGCTGGACTGACTCGGTGTTGCGATGTGTGGCCGTCACATCGCCGTGGTCGTAGAGACTTGATCCAATGCCGATGACGAGTAGAACTTTGAGACGGAGGTCGGCTGTGATGCTGTCTGGGTGGTCCCAGCATCTCTGATACTCGGTCCAGAACGTAGGAACATGGAGGATCCGATGCCTGAATACTGGTGAGTCAGGAAAACGGAGTAAATAAGGTAGTGGCGGCGATGCATCGCCGGGTACAGACATACGTTGACTCAAACGCCGCAAAGTACAATCTGGCCTTTGCATCAGCGGTCTCGCGCGGAGGCAGCGTCAGGACGACGCCAGGCGAGTTCAACCTCGGAGCAGGCCGATCGACCTTGATGCTCTTCGCGCCGATTTTGGACTTCCGGAGAAGATGGCCGGCTTGGGAAACCAAGACCGCCGCTTCAGGGCTGTGATACGATGTATCCCCAGTGCCCCTACCCATGATTTCGCTGTAGCAGGTGATGATGGCGGTGAACTCAGGCGCACCGCCGACCCAGCGGCTGCGGCCCCAATCCCGCGGCTTGTTGTTCATAACAGACTGCCATCCTTGTGCCGCTGCCAGTGGCTGAGGTGTAAGAGAACGCTGGGCCGGCTCACCCTGAGCAGCTTCAGGCGACGCCTTGGGGGAGGAATGGTTACCCTTTCCACTTCCGGATGCCGAGAGGGTCTCAAGTTTCTGTATTCTCTGCAAAATATCACGGAGAATGGGTATCTGATCCGGAGTATGCTCTGGTGTGACCAAGGGGATTGGAACGGTGGGCGGAGGACTCGCGGCAGAAACAGTGGTTGGCCGTGAGCCGACTGGGCTGCCATCATCTCGGACTCTCGATCCGCCAGTTGACTGTAGGCCTCGGCGTCTTGTAGGATCCTTGTCGGCAAATGGCTTGTAGAAACATTGCGCATTATGGCGAACGCACTGGGCGCACGGCTTGTTATGGTCACATTTGATTTTCCGGCGGCGACATTCCCGACAAGAGAGGGCCGGCCTTCGGCGTCGGCGGATTGTTGACTGCTGTTCTGTCTGACTCTGCATAAACGAAGACCTCGGCCGAATGATGAGTTGTCACCGGCCTCCTTGGCCTTTAAATAAGGTGCCTTAGGTAGAAAAGTAAGAATTTGACTTTCCAGAGTTCGGTTGTTCGAATTTGATATGGCACTTGTCGTTGGTCGGGGATAAGTGAAAGAAGTTGCCGAGCAGAAACGGGTTTTCAATGGTGCTTACAGCAGTCAAATATTCCCTCTCGGCCGAGAAGAGTCGGAAGACTCGCACAGCACCGGAGCAAGTCATGTATAACCTGATGATTTGGCACGTAAATGATCAATAACAACCTGAGTTAATTTACGGTTAGTTACCTACTCTAGTAATGGACAGAAACACCCTGAGCATGGCTTCACATGAACAGTGCATTTCGCCTCCCTTCTTCAAGTCTTATGGTGCGAAGTCGCAGCCCCCAGAAGCAGACGCAGTCTGAGACCGCCTGGATGTACTATGGATCCAGTCGCTCTTCGAGTCCTCATCAGCGGCGGCGGCGTCGCGGGCAGCGCTCTCGCTTTCTGGCTTGTCAGACAAGGCCACGACATCCCGGTTGTCGAGCACTTCACCAGTCTGCGTGCTTTCGGCCTCCACATCGACCTCCGTGGCCCCGGCACTGAAGTCCTTCGAGGAATGGGCTTTGAGGGTGCTTTCCGCCAAGGCAGCGCCGGAGCAGGGAATGCAGATTGTTGACGGCTCAGGCCGGCGCCGTGGCTATTTCCCAGCAAACTATTCCGGCACCGGCCGCCATAGCCTGACTTTGAGTTCGAGATCATGAGAGGTAACCTGTGTCGCCTTCACTATGACGCCGCCAACGCTTGCAGAACACCGCCGAAATACGTCTTCGGAACATCCGTGGCCAGCTTTGAGCAGAAAGACACCTCAGTCAACGTTCGTTTTGAAGATGGCAGGACGGATACCTTTGACCTCCTCGTCAACGCTGATGGTCAGTGGTCCCGCACTCGCAGGATGATGCTCGGCCCTGGTATCCCGGACGCGGTTCAACGGATACCAGCCCTCTACATGGCCTACTTCACAGTGCGTCAGCCAATGCAAAAGGGAGAGAAGTACCTCACCACGTCTTCGCCCCGGGAAGGCGCGGAATCACGACCCAAAGACACAGTCCGGAGGAGATGCAGGTTCTGCTCACCTGCAATCCTGCCCCGGATTGGCTGGAGAATGTTTTCAGGGGGAATGTCGAGAAGGATAAGGAAGCTTTCGCGGACATCTTCAGGGGTGCCAAATGGATATCGGAGGACATCCTGAAATCCATGTGGGCGGCTGACGATTTTTACTGCGAGCGTCTCGGTCTCGTGAAGCTGAAATCCTGGTCGTCGGGTCACGTCACGCTCGTCGGAGAAGCCGCTCACTGCCCAACGGCTCTGTCCGGAATGGCACTACTTGCGCTATTGTGGGAGCTTACATTTTAGCCGACGAGATTGGCAGATTCTGCCAGCGAGGACGGGCCGACATCGACAAGGACCCAGACACCCTTGCCGCTGCGCTCGACCGCTACGAACAAGCCTTTTCGTCCCTTCGTCAAAGCTATGCAGGAAGGGATCCCCGAGAGAGCCGAGAAGCAATGGAACATGACGGGATCAGCATTTAGCATCGGTGTCCTGAACTTCATGGTGGGAATTGCTTCCTTTCTCAAAGTCAACATTGCTGATCTCATGGGCATTCGCGAGACGGTTGGTGATGGGTATCTCCCGGACTACGAGAGTATGGTGGGGGACAAATAATTAGGGAGATCATCACACGGTTATCGTTTTCACTGATCCTCAAACTACCTTACATATCTCCACTCTTCATGGGACCCGAAACTAAACTCTGACGAATGTCACTCAGTTAAGGAGTGTAAGGTAGCAATCGGTCATCGTGCAGGGGAGTGGTGAGCTCGTGTCACTTAACCACTAGTGCGTCATTGATGCCACATGGGTTGACTTACTCTCTCGGAGTCTCCCCAAATATTCACACAATGACCTCAGTTGCAATGTTCATGCTCCACTTCTCAAGCCATCATCAAGCGATGGTCCAGATCGCGGCGTCTGAACAGAATCACAGTTTCAGAAAAACAATCACTTAAACAAACCGCTGCTTGGGCGTTGGCGATGTGCATGTGTTTTGTACAAGATACGGGTCTAAGCGAAACATACGCATTCGTCCCAACGAACTTGGCTCGTACACACGTCATTTCACTATGAGGCCTTGTTGCTTAGGGTTCCACCAGCTCCTTCTTGCCGATTGTGCCGCACATTCTCCACGATCTGAGACGAGAAGCAAATGAGATATTCATTGCATATGGTATTCCCTGGGCTCTCTCGCACCATTAGTTACTCAAACGTAACGGTTAACCTCATCTGCTCATCGATGGCTCGTTGATGTCCTTGAGGTTTAGGGTAGTGCAAGATCACCGTTCCTTCATCATCCCCAGATTGTCTCAAAAGCAGTACAGGTAATGTTTTCTTGAACGAGAGAATCCCCAGAATTGGCATCTCGGCAGGGACAGTCCGGAGGTTGACGGTTAAGACTGTCTCTTTGCGAACTTGGCGGGTGGAAGGCGCTTTCACATGCAAATACCCCGGATATGCAGAGCCTGGGCCCCACCACTCCAGCCCCTGTTCCGAGGCGCCAAGTCAAGGCTAACATTGTCCCCGTGCGATCGGGGGACTTTGAGCCGACAAGTGCCGTGGACTTCCCCCGGATTTACACATGCCGGCCCGAACTGTACCTTTACCTTCCAGGTCATCTACGGCGACCTGCCACGGACGCGCTTTGCCCCTGTCATCAGACGTCCCTTGATATTCGAGTTCGATGAGGTAGACTCCGGCTTTTTACTCCCCGAGTGCACAGTGCACCGAACTGAACCGTCGCGCGCCGCCCAACTCATCTGCGAATAAGCCGAGGCATCATGTCGGGGTCGCTCGGGTCCCTCAAGGTGCGATCTGACATGAATACTGTTGACGCTGCAAAGGAAAGGCTTTCGAGACTGTTTCTAACGCCGCGAGACAAGGCCGCCGCCGAGCGCATCATCCTCGACCCAAGATACCATGACTTGCTGTCCATCGTCAAGGGCGCCCGCAATGGAGCCGTTTATGGCACCAAAGTTCGGTTTCCGCATGCGCTCGTGTATGACAAGACCTTGCCCAGCATAATTAACTGGCGGCACTGAATGGCTGACGAACAAAACAAACAGCATGATCATTCTCTTCCGCTCCGGAACGTTAGTCTCCCGGACACTCGCCCTGCCGCAAACTCGCAAACCAGCTAACCCTGCCCCCTCCCCGAACGCAGCCTCCGAGAAAAGTTCCGCCTCGTCTTTCGCGCAACACGCACCCACGCCCGCAATCTCGCAAAATTCGCGACCATCTACAAGGCCATCTGTCTGCTCCTTAAACACTACGGTCCGACGCCCGGCAAAGAAGGCAAGACATACCTCCCTCCTCTACCGTCCTGTGCCCCATCGCTAATGCTTACCTCCCCCAACAAACAGGGCCCTACGATAGCTTTCTCGCCGGTTTACTAGGCGGCTACATCGTTTTCGGGCGGCGCTCGCCGCGCACGGGCAAGATCTCGAGCGTGAGCCAGCAGATCGTCATCTACGTGTTCGCGCGCGTGGTGCTCGCGCTGGCGCGGCTGGCCGTGAAACCCCGCGCCAGCGGCGGACGAGGCGGGTTCGGCCTGCCGGTCGTGTCGGAACCCCGGAACAGCGCCGTCATCAGCTACTACGCCTGGCCCGTTTTCGCCAGCGTCTCGTGGGCGGCAGTCATGCACCTGTTCAAGTACCATGCCGCCGAGCTGCAGCCGAGCTTGAGGAGTAGCATGACGTATATCTATGCCGATTCGGATCGATGGGATGGGTTGAGGACTTTCCTGTGGCACAATAAGTGAGTTTGGGGGAGTGGTAGACGGAGGGCTGGGTGACTTGGTTAGAAGCGGGGAGGCACCCTGCATACAACGGCGTTTTGGGATGGCTGATTTGATCCCTCGTCCAGCTCTGAAGGTCTGGTCAAGCTTTTGATTTGTTTACCGTGTTTTGGACATGAAGGCGATTGTTGAGTGATGGTATGTACACAGCGACATGGGTTTCGGAAGAGAGGAGGGCGGATGTGTGGTTAGGGAGGCCAAGCGTTGCGTTGGAAATGGTTTAGGAAGTAGCGGTTTATCCAGAATCTGATTGGCAGCATGCCGCAGGTGGGTGCAGGTGAGCGAGAGATCAGAAGGGAAAAACGTCTGTCTAACCATGAAATTGAGTTGTGCAGGTGTCTGTCCTTGGTGGTGGTGCCCCCTTTCTCGTTGTTCCTGCGTGCAGCTGTTCTCGATCGGCTTCGTGGGGATTTGCTCCACTTCAAGGGAGGTAGATACATCTCCTGGCGTTTCTTTGATGCGTGACCAACCGCTAGGGCCTTGCTTCACAATTCACGATGCGTGCCAGTCGCGCATTTGAAGTGATGTTCGCTTTGGCCACAAATAGCACTTGAACAGTCATATTGGCTCAATAAGGGCTCAGTGAGGGCCAACCTCGGCCGCCCGTTGGTTGCCTTGCAAGGGCATCAAGTCTTATCTCGGCCTCTTCCCCTGATGGGCGTAGTTCCATCGGAAGAACTAAGACTCGTCGACCACAAAGTCAAAATCTGGACTCAACAAAGCACCGACAAGGCCCAGAAAACCAAGACATCGTATATGATATCGGTCCACCATCAACACCAGACGCCAATCCCATGCCGAGTTTGCCATTTTTGCAGACCCACCCAGATATACTCGATATTATCACCCAACCGACGCTATACCAAGAGGACAGCATTCAGACAGCCGTCGTTCTACCGAGAGAGTCAGAATTGTCACGGCAGGGCGCTGTCTCAGCAAAGGCATACCTCTGGGTTATTTGTGATTTGCGCGTAGCGACCCCAGGCAATCTTGCCCGAGGCTGTGACGATACCTAGATCGGAGACGTTGACCTCGATGCTGTAACAGATTAGCAACTGCCAGCCAAGCTGGAGGGAGCCGCGACATACATTGTACCCTTGGTTAGAACACCCAGTTGGGTATCTGGTCCCTCAGTTAGTATTTTGAACAAATCTCAAACCTGAGTTCTTAGAACATACAACTGGGGACCGTTAGCAGGTGATCATACAAAGACGCCATGATGTCAACTTACAGAGGATTGCTGGGGTTCTTCTTGACGCCCAAGATAGGGAGCTGGACGGTGACATTGAGGGTCGGATGTGTGACGTTCGCCTTCTTGTACCGGAGACCCATGGGCCGGATGAAACCTGCGCGCTGTCAAATTCTCGTTCCGGTGATCCGTCGAGAGCAGAAAGGAATGGAAAAGAACTTGCGTTCGTATTTAACCGGCCGTCTTGTGAAGTCAGGCCCAACGAAAGTCGGCTGCAGTCATAATCAGCATCATACTTTGCGGAATGGGGTTGCCGACGCCAGCCAACCTTTGTGACAACACGCTTCCACCCTATTTGCATGTTAGCATGGCTCCACTGGCGGAACAGAGCCCTTCCAAGAGAACATACCCTTTTTCTGGACCTTCTTGCCCGTCTTGACACTATCCACACCGTCAGCACCACCTCCCGCTCAGCAGACTCCACAACAGGACCCATCACGTACACCTTGAAGAGCTCCTCCTCACTGATACCGCGGACCTTGGGGATAGGCACCGAGAAGCGGGCGGCCTTCTCGGCCCTCTTGTTCTTGATCTGCGAGCTCAGCGCCTTGGCCGTGGTCGGGTTGGCGCGGTCGAGCAGGTAGGCGGGCACGGCCTCGGACGGCTCCTTCTCGGCGGGGGCGCCCTTGACGTTGCGCTCCTCGTGCTGCTTGATGGCCTTGCGCATCTGTATTTTTTGGGCGTGGCGCTGCTTGGCGTACAGCTTGGCCCGCAGGCCGCGCAGATTCTGCGCATTTTCGCTCTGCTTGTGGCCCTCGCGGGCGGCCTTCTTGCGCGTGCGCTCCTCGTGGTCCAGGCGCCTGCCGTGGAGCTTGCGATGCCGTTCTGTTCGTCACGAAGAGCAATGTATTAGAGGACGGCATATTCTCAGGTGGAAGCGTCGAAGAAGAATGGGGTAACTGGGGTTGGTCGCTCGGTAAGGGCAAGCATACCGATGTACTCGTTCTGGGGCTGTAGTCGTGCAAGACAAGCGGTTAGCGAGGGTCATGCTGACCGACTAGACGGGGTCGGCGCAAATCAAAGGACGGGCTACTGACCATGGTGCCTGCTGGTGCCGTCAAACGGACTCACGACAAAAGGCTGACAATGTCTAATGAATCCAATTTGCGGCTATCGGACTCGATTTTGGACGTCAGATTCAATGATAAAAATTCAAAGGTCTTATCAGGATTCCAGGTGGCAGGCTCTTGGTGGGGGGCAAGAGCTTGCTCTGTGATGCTATTGGCTGATGACGCATGGGGTGGGCTGACTGTGCCATGATTCCCCACACTGCCCATGAAGGTTCGTTCCAGAGTCGAGAATGAGATGAAGGGTCCGAAATACATGATCATGGTAAAATGGGAATGGGTTGAATCTGCATACACTATGGCGAGATGGAAGGTGCTAAGAAAATTGGAGACTTATTCAGGGAGTAGGAGTAGCTCGGCGAGATCGGTGAGACCGCGCATGATGACTCGGAACAAAGCCGAGGGACACCAACAACAGAAGAGGAGCAGCAACAGACGCTTCTCAGTGGAAAACGGCATCGCCAGAGAATGCAGATGTGTTGCAATAACAGACTGGATAAATGATTACAGCTCTGAGACAACAGTACCGGATACCTGGCACGTGCGTTGCCCGCCGCCCAACCGTGAACTCCACGCAGATGCAGGATGTGGAAATGTGCCCTCTAGAAATGCCCACGCCGTGTGTCAACGTCAACGCCAAACCCCAAGTGCTGCCCAAAAATAACCACCCAAGAACACCACGCACCCATATATATCCTGGCCCTCCACGCTGCATCAAGCAACCAGGTCAGCGACCGGCAGCTTTGGACTTCGCAGCGGCGAGCAGCCTGCGCCTCCGTTCCTCCTTCTCTTGCTTCAGCCGCCTTTCCAGAGCCTCTTGTTCCAAATCCTCGCGCCGAGCTTGGCGCTCGGCCCGTTGCTCTTCGTCCTCAATATCTGTAAGACCAGCCTCCATGTCGGACTCGTCCTCGTACGAGTTATAACGATACCCCGGGCCACCATAGCTTGTTTCTGCCTCGTCCTCGTCGTCAACAATGAAGTCGTCCATCTCATCGTCTTCTTCATATCTGTTCCGCGGGCCCGAGAGTGGGCCACCATATTTAGGTCTGTCGCGAGCCCGGGTCTCGGAACCGGGACGACCTGGGGCGCCAGGCTTGGCGGTAGTCGACACGCCGGGCCGGGGCCGTGCGGTGCCAGTATACCCCGTCGTCGCCAAAGCCGCCTTCTTCACCTTCTTCTCCTCGACTGGCGGCGTCTTCTTGGCGTTAGCAGCACCGGACGGCAAACCATTCCGGGCACCGGGGCCCTTGGCCGCCTCTCTTGAAGATGTGCCTGCGGCGCTGACCTGGCCACTCGCTACCTTCCTCGCCTCCATCTTCGTCCTTTTCAATGTGCCCGCCTTCATTTCCTTGCGCTCCTTCATGGTCATGCTCCGCTCGACCATCTTGTGCTGGATTTTTCCCAGAGACTCCCTTTGCTCCGAGTTTGCCTTCGCCCGAGCCATGATCTCTGCAAAGGACCGCTTTTTAAGTGGATTGGAATCTGTAGGGCTCGGACGGTTCGGGAGAGGCCGGGCAGGTAACGGTTTGATGCCATTACCCAGTGTAGCCCCCGTGCCGGCAGCCTTGAACGTAGCTGCGCTCGGTTTCTCACTCGACGCCTTCTTGTCCACGCTCGACTGCGGCCTTGAGGATTGGCTGTCACTAGAAAAGCCAAGGGGCGTATCTAATGGGCGAGGTAATGGTTTTGAGAGAGTAGCGACAGGCCGCGTAGCCTTCTCGGGCGCCGGACCAGTGCGGGCCACTTTCGCGGCGACTGGCCGAATTTCATCCTCGGCTTTTCGCTTGGGCAGGATGATGCTCGTATTGGGGATGGGTTTCGGCGACCGTTTCGGCGTTTCCCCCGTGATCGATGCTAGCAAATCGAGGATCTGGCAGAACAGTTCAACATCATCTACCCAGAAGCTGCCGAGATGCATCTCTGCTTACCGGCATTGTGACAAGTGCGCCGTGGTGTCAAAGTACAGATGCCACAGTTTTCCTAAACCCTCCCCAGCCTCACACCCAACCTTGCTGCCAAGTCATCGAAGAAGACACGTGGATTTCAAGAACCAAAACGAGTCACGCGTTTCCAAGTCGTCACTTTGTTGAGTCCGCTTGAGCCGCTTTTGACGTGAAAACCCCAAGTATGGGTCAAGCAACCTCCGGAGAGAATATCGCGCGAGGTCGTAACGGTGGAATGTGCGCGTTTGTTGCAAGAACAGGAAGTCTGCGTGGTCGATTTGCGCCTCCAGGTTGGCCCCCAGCCGCTATTTAACTTCTTGGAGGGGACAGGGACCCGCTTTGGTCCCCGGACTAACCAACTGGCAGCAGAAGCTGAGGCAGGTGTCGACGGCTTCGCCGCTCGGTCCCGCAGCGATGTTTATGTCAGCAGCCTGGTGAACAAATCATCGGACTGCCCTAAGCTGAGCAGGTCAGGTGACAAGTGGGGTGGGAATTTGCGGGCTCACAATTGGAAGAATTACAAAATAAATCGGTCTGACTCTTGAGAACCCTCCTTGCAGCCAACACCGACCAGAACTAAGAAGAGTCTTTCTCCGCCCAACTTGCGGTTAAACTTGATTGACCTCTCTTGTTCTTCCAAGCTCCTCAACAGGTGAGTTCTTCCGCGGTCAGTTTGACGTCTGGGGGCTATAGCACGAGACTGACGACCAAGTGGAAACAGATAAACCAAAATGAAGCACCTCGCCGCTTACCTCCTTCTCGGCCTCGGCGGCAACGCCTCCCCTTCGGCCGCCGATATCAAGGCTGTCCTCGAGTCCGTTGGCATCGAGGCTGATGATGAGCGTCTCGAGAAGCTGCTCTCTGAGCTCGAGGGCAAGGACATCAACCAGGTGCGCAGAACTCTGCTGGCTCGGTTCGAACAATGTCCAATTTGCTGACAACGTGGCACAGCTCATTGCTGAGGGTTCCTCCAAGCTCGCCTCCGTCCCGTCCGGCGGTGCTGGCGGTGCTGTCGCTGCTGGTGGCGCTGCTGCCGGCGGTGCCGCCGCTGAGGCTCCTAAGGAGGAAGAGAAGAAGGAGGAGGGTATGTCTGCCCTGCAGATCATTGCTTCAGCCATGCACTTGCTAACCATTGCGCAGAGAAGGAGGAGTCCGACGAGGACATGGGCTTCGGTCTCTTCGATTAAGCAACCCACCACAAGCGCCGCGAAACCGGTTCCAGTTGTGTGGGCGTTTCCGAAGAGCCTTAGCGGGCTCTACGTATCCTTGCGGCGCTGCTCGAGCCGCGGGCTTGGGCTGCTTCGGCATGCAGGGCCTTGCTCTCACCTGGCTGCAGTGCCATATAGATTGGAACAATGAAATAGCAAGGGTGTCTTCGGATGTGTTTGCGTCGCGTATCACACAGAGTCTCAGTGGACTGTGAGGGTACCGTATGGCTTGCGATCGTCATGTGTGATATCCGCTGGCGATTGAGTAATCCCTCGCCCACAGTCCAAATGCCGACCGCAACCTAAGAAGCATTGTGGGTGAAGCCGAAGTTTCCAGGCTCTGGAATGGCGAGAATTTGGCGCTTTCCCCAGACGGGTAGGTCGCATCAGCCCATCGCGAACCACTTGCTCGGCAAATCTCCTGCGATCTGTGTATGATTGGTTTGTTGCTGGGCCAACGCGTCTGCAGCCATTTAAGCGGTGTCCATGGTTGTGGGTCCCGAGCTGTTTTCATGTCAACGAACGCTGCATTTCACATTCCTCCCTCAAACTTTCCGTGCACAGCAGCAACCAGCGCTCGCGATCCAAACAGCGCGATTCCTCATGCTTCAACATTGCTCTCAACCGTAATACACCACTCCGATTTCGATTTCGTACTCTCTTCTCCCGTATCCGAGTCAAGAAGGAGGGCATCACCGCGACGCGCCGGGACACGACATTCGACATATTCCCTCGACTTGCAAATGTCGCTGACGGCGGCAAAGGGAGGCCAGCATGCTTCACTGGCCAGGAGGACGTCGGCCAGACTGGCTCTCCGCGGCCAGGCCGAGCAGTTTCAAACCGTTGACAGCTCTGATGATGAGATGCTCAGGCCTATGAAGCTGAGCGCTATCACCAAAGCTATTTTAGGGGGCAGTCACGCCTCCGACGCCTCGTCTGCCGATGCGCCAGCATCCTCCGGTCCACACCGGTCATCACATCCTCTCAGAAGCTCCATCGCGGCACCCCTCCGGACAACCAGCGGAGACCATGAGTCCTCATGGAAGCGGACTCGAGAGTCTGACCGGGCACCTGCCTCACGACCACCCTCACCACCCAGTCGACCCCATTCGCGAACTGGTTCGAGAAGGAGCTCCATACCTGCCCCATTGCCGCTAGCATCCACGGATCAGGATTCACTCGTTCCAAGTACTCGCCGCACCCGTACGGCGCGAAGCGGGAGTAACCCCCCGTCGAGGAATCCTTCGCCTGTTGGGAGCCGCGAGAACAGTCCCGCGCCCAGGAAACGTGTAGTCCGCCTCCACGCGCCGAATTCAGCAAACGGGCCACATAACTCAAGTTTCAATGGCAGTCGTCGGAACAGCCTTCGGAATTCACTTTCATCGTCCACTCGGGGAAAGAGGCCTGAAACGTCGGATGGTTCCAAGGTCCAGGACATCCAGTCTCCAGTTGCGGCGCTTCAAGAACAGCCGGAAAGAACCCCTGTGATTCCCGTGAGGACCGTCAGGATTGCGGTCGAGTCGTCGGGACAGAAGCCGACATCAGGGGGCTCGTCCGAGGCACGGTCTAGACACGGTGCGCACTCAATTGATCGCGAGCTTCGACATGCTCCGGCCGTCGTTCCCGCGCCGGCGGCAGTAGCGCCGCAAAGTTCATTGAGACTCAAGAGAGTTGGAAAGACCCCAGGAAGTTTCCTTTCCGGCCCCGCTCGTCGTGGGCGTCGAAGACAGAGCGAGGAAGAGGCTGATGGTCAACAAGAGGGGGATGTGTACGGCTCGGGTCAGGACCCCGGCAGCCAGCAGCCTCTGTCTGGGCCGGAGCAAGATGCTCCCTCACCGGGCGCCTCCGAATACCCTGATTTTGCCGCGTCCGGCAGCCCGGTTAGCAAGGACTCCGCCAGGGCCGCTCTCCGGAGACACAAGGCCACTTTCATCACCCCAGTCAGTGAGCGAAAGCAGGAGCAGAGCTACCGGCCCTTGGCTTACCGAATGCCAACTCCGCCTGGCCTCAAATCCAACGAGGACAAAGAGAACGACGCGCCGTTCGAACTCGCACCTTCCATTCCCCCCATGATGCGGCCGAGCAACCCTCCTCCGTCCGTCCCAAATGCAAAGGCCCCTTCTCAAGCCGTGGCCGCCACGAACGCCGATGTCCCTGAACCAGTCCACCGCGGTCATGCCGCTCCCAATCACCAAATCCTGACCTCAAGATCCCACAACGCTGCTCAAAGGCCAGCGCCACCTCCGCCGCCGAGGATGTCAGTGGTCGAGACAGCCACTGCCGCGGCAGGGGCCTCCGCTGCCACGCAAGCCAGCAAGAAGAGGCAATTTTTGCTTCGCGTCAACGGCAAGACATATACCAGACTCGATTCGCTTGGTCGCGGCGGGTCCGGTAAGGTGTACCGTGTCTCGGCGGAAAACGGGAAGCTACTTGCCCTCAAACGCGTGTCCCTCGAAAATTTGGACGAGAGAGTCATCAAGGGATACCAAGGTGAAATTGACCTGTTACAGCGATTGGCTGGAGTTGGTCGGGTTATTCAACTTATCGACCACGAGTTCAACGCCGAAAAAAAGATGCTCAGCCTTGTAAGTCAAAGTTCCGAAGATCCAGTTGAACAAGCGCAATTGTTGATGTCTTTCTAGGTCCTAGAGGCTGGTGAGCTTGATTTCAACACTCTTCTCCGAAGCCGCACTTCCGAGGACAGTCGGCTTGATCCAGTTTTTGTAAGATATTGGTGGAAGGAGATGGTCGAGTGCGTCCAAGCGGTGCATGACAAGGACATTATCCACACGGACCTAAAACCGGCCAACTTTGTCATTGCCCAGGGACGACTCAAAGTCATCGACTTCGGCATCGCCAATGCCATCCAAACCGACATGACGGTCAACGTGCACCGCGATGCGCAGATCGGCACGCCAAACTATATGTCGCCCGAGTCATTGATGGATTCCAAAGAATACGCCCTCACATCAGCCTACAAGGGCCAGTTCAACGCCCCACCATCCCACCGGCCGAAACACTTCAAGCTCGGCAAGTCCAGCGACGTGTGGAGTTTGGGCTGCATTTTGTACCAGATGGTGTACGGGCAGTGTCCGTTTGCCAAAGTTCCGACCATGGCGGCCCGCGTCAACGCGATCAAAGACTGGAGCTATCCGATCGAGTTCCCGGAGCAGACCGAGCACGGCGTCCGCGTGCCGCCGAGCCTCCTCCGCACGATGAAGCGGTGCCTGAACCGAGACGCGTCGCAGCGCCCTTCCTGCGAGGAGCTGCTCTCCCCGACCGACCCGTTCCTGTACCCACTGGAACTATCACCGGATATCGTTGCTGCTGCGGACCACGGCCAGGTTATTCCTCTCACACAGGAGCTCCTGCGTGATGTCGTCTGGGATGTGGTGCAGCGCGTTCGGCGCGGGGAGGCGGCCGACGGTGAGGTTTTGAAGGTGTGGCCGGCGGCGTATTGGGCTAGTTGCAAAAGGTCTTTGGCTACCCGCAGTGGGAATCCTGGTGGGAATGGGATTGGCGAGGGACAGCAGTAGAGGGGGGATAAGTGAGGAAGAATTTTTTGTGCGATCAATGGGCGCTTGGTATTCTCGTGTTGGATATCGAATGGAAGGAGGAACGAGGGAGATGTTCGGATTCGAAGACCCCACACTTGGTTGCTTTCTTATACCCCGGGGCAGGCAAACGAGTTTGCCTTTGTTGATATGTTATGGGGAGAATTGATGGTTGGAAGCCAGGAGTTAGGGGTTGTTGATGGGTTTTGGATACAGGCCGGCTTTCTTCATATCACGATGAGAAAAGGTGTCAGATATACATTGTAATGAATTGGGTGTCAATGTACAGAACCGCCCTATAGGAAGTGGAGTTTATGACACGGTGTTGCCGCGCTTCATTTGGTTGCGATCCTGCTGCGCTGCTTGTGTTGTCTGGTTCGATTCGCGCAGACAGGTTTGTTGGCAGGTCGTCTGATGTGGTCTTATTCTCATGTTGGCATTCACAGGTTAGACGAACATGACATAAGCTGCTGTCGATTGTCAGACGTCCGATGATGCGCCCTTTTGTCCATATTGGCAACGTAATCACACATTTGGCATGGTCCAGGTCATTTGTAAGACAATAGCCTCAGATATGATACATGTCTATGGCAGTTACTCCCTCATCGGACACATATGTCCGTGTGTCTCCGGCATCCGTCGCCACATATGTGCCCACGACAACTAGCCATGGAGTGCCTCTTCTACCGGATCCCTTCCCATTCTATCAACAACAGAGCCCAGCGCCTCAGCCCAGCGCCTCAGCCCAGCGCCTCAGTCCACGCACCTTCATCTGTACCAACTATGCCGTGCTGTCCCAACCATGCCCCCGGGCCCCAGAAGCTCAGTAGGTACAAACGCCTCAGCCCCTTCATCAACTCTCATTCACCGCCTCGGTCCGGATCTTCAGCTCGCTGATCCGCAACATCGTGAACCGGTGCTTGCTCTTGACCGTCTTGGTGCGGCGGCACCGCCTCTTCTTCTTGATCTTGACGCGCATCGGCTCCGACTCGGTGCCCATGACGACGGCGCGGCACTCAAACAGCCGTTCGTCGACGTAAGGGGCGCCCTTAAGCGTGAAGTCGCGGCTGCCGAGGACCGTCGCCCGGTTAAGCCGCAGCACGTCGCCCGGCTCGACGCCGGGCATCTTGAAGGGCAGCCGCACGCTATCGCCCTCGGTCACCAGGTAGGGCACGCCGTGGATGTGGATCGTGATGTAGTGCCCTGGTTGGGCGGCAAGGGCCGGGAGGAGGGCGCGGACTGACTCGCTTAGGGGGGTTGAAGGTGGTGTTGGTGGTGGTTGGTGTTGGGGTTGTGTGGAGAGCGGGGGCCGTTGTGAGGCGAGGGAGGAGGTGGCGTTAGCTACGACGGCTGGGTTGGGATGCGTGGGCTGCTCGACGTGCTGGGTCGTCTGGTTGAAGAAGCGCACCGATATTGTAGCTGTCGCGCCAAGTAATGGTGTTACCGTCTTCGGGCGGATGGACTGGAGAAGGCGCGTGATAGGAGCGCGCAGCTCCAGCGCGGGGCGCAGCAGTGCCCTGCTCATCGTGAGCTGTGCCGCTTGTGGTCAATTGGGTCGGATGAGGTAAGGGGAATAGACCGTCGCAGTGCGGTGTCGGGCTCCGCGATGGGCTGGAGTTGGCAGCTAATATATGGTGCAAAATTCATGGGTTGAAGTCGACTGGCGGCCGGCAGAAAATATGTGGGTCTGTTGCTGATCCTCACCTCGGTGAGCGTATGGCTCCGCAAGGTGGACAAGTCGGCCCTCTCTTCTTAATTGAAGGGAACGGCTAGATCGCACACGGCCACGGCTATATAGCACGGCGCTATCCCTGATTCGGCAGGGCTCCCGCAGTGCCCGTGCAGTAGTACAACCGTGAACTTCTTGACAGCTGCCAAGTGGAGGCACAGAAGCTGCGTCGGCTTGATCAATCCGTTCAATTGAAGTCAACGCAAATAACATGAGCTCATTCCCATTGCTTTTGTGATATTCTTGAAGGTACTGACTATGAACTACACATTTACGGCTTAGCAGTGTGCTCCATGCAGCTGCTTGCGATTGTCAGCTCCTGCAGGTTAGCAGCATCCTGGCGGTAACAGGTTGTGGATGGAAGTTGAAGCGGGAAGTTGGGGCAACAGCCGGCTGCTGTAGTGTGCTCTGGGCAGACGCCGGCCTGTGGCCCGCTTGGCAGCTGTCAGGAAATTCACGATTGTACTGCTGCACGGGCACCGCGGGAGCCCTGCCGAATCAGGGATAGCGCCGTGCTATATAGCCGTGGCCGTGTGCGATCTAGCCGTTCCCTAATTGAACCACCAGCTGGGGCTCTGAAACCCGTAAACAATATTCAGCACGACTGAGTTGGCGTTACTGTGGTATGATGGGTAATGAAAATCTCCATGCGGGGTACCTACGCTAACCGAGAGTAAGGTATCCACACTCTTCCACAGTAAATACAGTAAACAACTAATTGATATTTTGTATGCATACCCTTGGCTGCAATCACCGCCTTGCACCGATCTGGCATCGAGGCCAACAGTTCCCTCAAGTAGTCGTCCGGTAGTGCCTCCCAAGCCTCCTTGACATACTGACGTAGCTTTTCGTACGAGGGCTTTTCTTCAAGGCCATACCGGTCTTCGATCCAGTCCTTCATCCAATTCCAACAAGACTCAATAGGGTTCAAGTCCGGTGAAAAGGGTGGCCATTCCATCACAACAATGCCTCGCTCTCTGAGATTTTCCTTCGTCTCTGCGGCTGCATGCCCTGGAGCACCATCTTGCATCAGGATCAGATCCTCACCAAGCTGTTCCTTGCACAACTGTACCCAGCCGTGAATCACAGGTACAGTATGTGCGCGGTAGGTTTCGGCGTTGATCTTCCCCCAACCCTTTTCCCAGAAAATCCCAGGGCCTTTGCCTAAGCCAGAGAAGCAACCCCAGAACATCCAGCCACCCTTGCGTTGATGCTTTTCCACAATGCACGTAGGATCCCACTCCTCGCCTTGACGCCGGGTTACATACTGCTTCCTATGCGGGCCACCAGTAACCCAGGTCTCGTCGG